AACCTTGCAATACTAATATAATAACAATAATAAATATTGTGAAGAATAAATAAATATCACAATTACATTGAGTATTCTTCATTTTGGAAAACTTGAATATAAATTACATACGTTCGTATCAAATTTTACAAACTATTTGTCAAAATGAATGGGACTTAACACAACATATAGATAACCATAATATTTACAATCCATAAATATATATGAGTCCCAGAGCAGTCTTTCCCAAAACCAACTACTGAAGACTGATCCTACTCATCTCCAGCACTCCAACTTTCTATCTTGGCTAAGTCTTCCAAATCCAGATCCTCGTCCAATCCCAAGTAACAATCTCCTGAATCAGCTCTAACCTCTGTGCTAGTGACGCACTCAAAGGTCCATCTGGACGGTCTTTCAAGAGAGTCATGGCCGTGGTAGGTAAATAGATACGTGAGAGTTTCTAGGGTTCTCACGATACCTCTGTACATATACACATAAAGTCTGGTGTATTCTACTCTTAGGAAAGTCAAAAGGGATACTACAAGAGAAATCCATCTCTATCATAACAAAAACCCTAGGTTCATCTTCTACAAGTATAAGAAATTTAAAATAACATACTCTTTGATATTCATTAAATACATAGTTTAACCTAAACTGTACTGATTTATCTATTAGTCTAATCCTTTCCTAAGGCTTCATCATCCTAATTTCCTGAAATTATTAGTAAGGATGAGCATCTATTCTATCCTTTACAAACATTTATCATAAAATCAAAGTTTTAACGTAAATACAACACATTCAATTTCATGAATTCATATTACAAACATATTCACATCACACATAACATTCAATAATTTATTATCCATTTTCTTTTCTCTTATCTCAATACGCACTCCCAGTTCACTGTGATCACAGATATCGATGCTTCCAGCACTTCTTGAGGTCTTATTCAACTAGGTAAATAGTCACCGGTTAGCTCATGTACAAGGATACAACATGTACAATAATCGGGCCCTTTGGCAAAGACATAGTCAGGAAACGAGTGTGAGACCATGTGACGCATTCGCTCTTAGAAAGACTGTGTACACATACACAAATATTACTCACCATCCTACATTTCTCCCAAATTTTCATCTTCTCTGGACTCTATACTTCAGTGTATCTTTGTAACTATTCACATTAGATTTCATCCATATCCGACTCTTAGGTCATTCTCAGAGTTATTCTTTTTTTCATGCATAAGATTGTGCTTAGTAAAGCACTTCCATACTAATTCCATTTTAGTCTATTCCACTCATACACTTATTGTTATAGTCATAGCTATTAACTCGTTTATGATCAATATCATTTTACCCGAACATATTTCACACAAAAATCTCATAGTAATCATTTAACAAATTTCATAATATTTTACATTAAACAATCATCATATAATACATATGAATATGTACTAACCACTTAGTCTAAACAACCAAACAGTCCAACTCATCAAACAAACATCTTTTTATCCATTATTCACACAAAAGATATCTCAACCATCTATTCTCATACAATATTCACATAACAGTGCTCTATGAGCATAAAATAAATATTGTAATATAACGATAAAATAAAGCTTTCCTTATCTCAAAGATGTGCTCACAGAGAGATATTGAAAGGGATCAAGAGTCAACTATAGAGGTTCTCCTGAATACCAAGAGATATCTATAAGAAACAAAAATAGGAAAAAAGATCAGAGAAAACCAAATTTAATCCGAAGAAACTTACTTAGAATCGCTTAGCTTCAATGTCCAAGCTTGACTTTGAAGGTAAAACAGAGTTCTGAGGCTTTTATCTAGGTAAAAGGAAGAGAGAGTGCAGAGAAAACTTGAGAAGAAAGAGACGTGAGTTCAGAAACAAATGAGATTTCCATGCAGGAAATCTCTTAAATATCCTTAAGCTTCGCACGTTCTTGCTTGAGTGACGGCTCTGTCGCCTGAGCGAGATATATAGACAGTGGTCTTACCCACTATTTTCTGATATGCTCACTTGAGTGAGCTTCATCTCGCCTGAGTGAGATGGTGTCCAGAGAGCATGCTATTTTTCCTATGGGTCCTCGCCTGAGCGAGATCACTCTCGCCTGGGCAAAGTGACAGTTGGGCCAAATTTATCTTATCTCGCTTGAGCAAGAATCATCTTGCTTGAGCGAGATAGCTCTGTAACTTTGTATTTTTGCACGCTCAATCTCGCTTGAGCAAGATTTACCTCGCTCAGGCGAGATCTCCTGCACCAAAATTCCTCTAAAATTCTTCATTTCTCTTCTAAATGCATTCTAATACTACTGAACATTAAATAAAACACAAATTACTAAAAAAAATGAGAAGAGGGTGTTACACTACTCTCACCTTTTTAAGAATTTCACCCTTGAAATTCACTGATTCAAGAAAAGATAAGGATATGCTTCCTTCATTTTGTCCTCAGGCTCTCAAGTAGCATCTCCTTCATCATTTGCGTTCCAAATCACCTTTACTAATGAAATCTCCTTTCCCCTTAACTGTTTGACTCGATGATCCATAATCTTCATAAGAAAAACAACATATGACAAATTCTCTTGAACTTGGACAGGATCAAGTTCAATCACATGAGAGGGATTCAGAATGTATTTCATCAATTGAGACACATGAAATATAGGATGCAAATTGGACAAATTTGGGGGTAAGGCAATATGATAAGCCAGAGGACCAACTCTACTCAGAACTTCGAATGGTCTGATGAATTTAGGAGATAACTTTTGGGATTTCAATGCCTTACCGACTCGAGTAATGGGTGAGACTCTAAAAAACACATGATCAACGACTTAAAATTCTAATGGCTTCCTTCGCTGATCATGGTAACTCTTTTGTCTATCTTGGGCAACCTTTATCTTTTCTTTGATCATCTTTACTTGATCATTCTGTTTATGCACTATATTAGGAGCATATAGAATTGTCTCTCCAGCTTTGTACCAGTATATAGGAGTTTGACACCTTCTTCCGTACAATGCTTTATACGGTGTCATGCCAATGCTTGCTTGATAACTATTATTATATGTGAATTCTAACAAAAGTAGACATTCATCCTACGCTCCTTGTTGCTCCATCACGTAAGCTCCTAACAAGTCTTCTAGTGTTTGGATAGTGCGCTCTGTTTGCCCGTCTGTTTGGGGATGATATGATGAACTAAGCTTTAACTTAGTCCTTAAAGCTTCTTGCAAACTTTCCCAGAACTTTGATGTGAATCTCAGATCTCGATCTGATACAATGCTCAAGGGTACTTCGTGTAATTTGACTTTGTCATTGATGTACACCTCTACTAACTTCTTCTATTTATACTTCATATTGGTTGAAATGAATTGTGCAGTCTTGGTTAGACGGTCTACAATTACCCATAAAGCATCGTGATTCCTTTGTTTTTGGTAGTTCATATATGAAGTCCATGGAGATACTATCCCATTTCCATTCGGAAATCTCCAATGGTTGTAATTCTCCTGGTACCGGCTGATGTTCTGCTTTCAATTTCTAGCATGTTAAACACTTTGCAACATGCTTAACTATCTCTTTCTTCATGCCATACCACCAGAAATTTCTTTGCAAATCATGATACATATTTATTGCTCCTGGATAGAAATTCAATTTACTCTTATGCGCCTCTTCCAATATTATTTGTTTCAATTCTTCATTTTGAGGAACACATACTCTGCCCTTAGATCTGATAAGTCCATTTGAGTTGCGATAAAACTTTGAGTCCTTAGTCTCATCATTTGGCTGTACCCTATCTTGCAGATATTGATCTTTCAATTGAGCATTATGGATTTGTATCAGAAAATCGTTATTGATTCTCAAAGTACCCAAGTACAAACTTTTTGGTCACACTTCTACCATCAAATTCAAATCTCTAAATTCTTCAATCAATTTCCACTCCTTTATCATCATGGTAGAAAGGTATAGGGATTTCATCCTCAATGCGTCTGCTAGAATGTTCGCTTTCTTGGGGTGATAAGATAACTTGAAGTCATAATCTTTGAGAAACTCCATCCATAGTCTCTGCCTCATGTTTAGCTTTTTCTGGTCGAATAGATATTTCAGACTCTTATGATCGCTGAATACTTTGAATCTCGATCCAAATAAATAATGCCTCTAGGGTTTTAGTGCAAATACTATGGCTTCCAGTTCCAAGTCATGTGTGTTATAATTGACTTCATGAGGTCGGAGTTGTCTAGAAGCGTATGCAACTACTCTTCCTGATTGCATCAGAACACACCCAAGTCCTTGTCCTAAAGCATCACAATATACTTCAAACTTTTGCTTCGGGTCTGGAAAAATCAACACTGGAGCCGAGGTTAACCTTTCCTTTAAGTTATGAAAGCTGACTTCACATTCTTCGTTCCACTCGAAGTCTTTTCCTTTCCTCGTCAATTTCGTTAAAAGTAGCGCTATTTTAGAAAACCCCTCAATGAATTTTCTATAATAGCCAGCCAATCCAAGGAAATTTCTAATTTCGGTAGGAGTTGTAAGTCTCGACCATTGAGCCACTGCTTCTACTTTTATTGGGTCAACCGTAATTCCTTCCTTTGAGACAACATGTCTCAAAAACTAGATCTGTGGAAGCCAAAATTCACACTTTGACAACTTCGCGTAAAGTTGCCTTTCGCTCAATATTCGTAGAATGATTCTTAAGTGTTCAATATGCTCCTCATGATTCTTGGATTAGATCAAAATATCGTCAATAAACACCACTACAAATCAATCCAAGAATTCATGGAAAATTCGATTCATATAGTCCATGAACACTATGGGGCATTAGTCACTCCAAACGGCATCACCAAGTATTCATAATGATCATAGCGGGTTCTAAAAGCTATCTTGGGATATCTTCCATCTTCAATCGAATCTATTAATAACCTGATTGCAAGTTGATCTTTGAAAATACTGAGGCTCCTTGTAGCTGATCCATCATATCATCAATCCGAGGAATAGGGTACTTATTCTTAATCGTCACCTTATTTAACTGCGATAATCAATGCACATTCCCATGCTCCATCCTTCTTTTTTTACCAAAAGTACTGGAGCCCCCCATGGTGACACGCTTGGTCTTACAAATTGCCTTTTTAATAGATCTTCCACTTGCTTTTTCATTTCAGCTAACTCTATTGGTGACATTTGATAAGGTGTGATAGATACTGGGCTTGCTTTCAGAATCAAATTGATAGTGAATTCAATTTCTCTTTCTAGTGATAATTCTGTCACATCCATTGGAAAAACTTCCAAAAAATCTTGCACCACTGGAATATGTGCAGCTTTCATGGCCTTATTAATCTTAGCAGAGAACAGTACCATGAAAGCCTTAGCTTCATCCACGTTTTTGGCTTCACCCATATTTAGGAGTCTAAATTTTCCCGGTGTATCATCACCAAAGATTAAAGCTTTCTCCTTACAATCTAACAGAACAAGATTGGATGGCAGCCAATCCATGCCCAAAACAATATCTAGTTGAGAAAGCGGTAAACAAATTAAGTCCCCACAAAAATTCCTACCATGAATCATTATAGAAAAACCTAAGCACATAGAAGAAGTTACAACAAGCTTAGCTGTAGGAGTGGACACAATAACATCACATGGCAGGGAAGATATTGGCAATCCAATACAATTCACAAAATCCATAGAAACAAAGGAGTGCGTTGCACCAGAATCAAACAGAACATTGCACAATCTATCGTTAATGATGCATTTATCTCTAATCAATTCATCAGATGTGGATGCTTCAAACCCACTCATGGAAAAAAACCTTATCTTGCACACTTGGCTTCACCCTTTCAGAGTGCCGCTCAAGTGCTTCAGGTGTGGAGGGCCACACATGGTGAAGGACTGCCCACAGCGATGGCCAACATGTGGCAACTGCGGGAAGTCGGGGCACACTGCGGATGTGTGTTGGGCCGCCAAGAGGAGTGGTAGTACTAGTACGGCTCAGAGGCCTGAGTTGAGAGGGAGCACGGGGCCGAAGCCTAGCATCCTCGGGATAGTCTTTGCTATAAGTGGGGTAGAGGCTTCACGATTAGAGAAACTGATCCGAGGTAAATGTGTAATTAAAGGCAGATTACTTGATGTACTATTTGACTCGGGTGCTACGCACTTTTTTGTGTCTGTGGATTGTGTGAGGAGTTTGAATTTGTATGTAACTGAATTGCCGTGTAATGTTGTGGTGACTACCCCTACAGGTAAACCGGTTGAGACGTCATGGGTATACCTGGGGTGTTCGATAATGGTACATGGTAGATAGTTTGAGGTGGACTTAATCTGTTTACCTCTTTTGCAATTGGATGTAATTCTGGGAATGGATTGGCTGACTGCCAACCACGTACTACTAGATTGTAGAGAGAAGACCCTGATCTTCAGTGTAGCAATGACCGAGGCCCTAAGACTTATGAGTCAAGGTGCATGGGAGAACACGGTGAACGCCAAGGCCTTTATGGTAATGTTTTCGATGGAGGCTGAAAGCGTGGTGGAGCTGGAGTATCTTCCAGTGGTAAAGGATTTCTTGGAGGTATTTCCCGAAGGTGTTTCCGAGCTGCCACCTGAGAGGGAGATAGAGTTTGCTATCGACCCCATTCTGGGAGCAAGCCCAATTTCTGTGGCGCCTTATAGGATGTCGCCGGTGTAATTGGCAGAGGTTAAGAAGCAAGTGGAAGACCTATTGCAGAAACAGTTTGTGAGACCGAGTGTGTCACCATGGGGAGCACCAGTGCTCTTGGTGAAGAAGAAGGATAGAAGCATGAGGATGTGTATGGATTACCGACATTTGAACAAGGTAACGGTCAAGACCAAGTATCCACTTTGAAGGATTGACGATTTGATGGATCAGTTGAAGGGAGCCGCAGTGTTCTCGAAGATCGATCTGAGATCGGGATACCACCAAATCCGAGTGAAGAATGAGGATGTGCCTAAAACGACATTTAGGACACGGTATGGTCACTACGAGTACTTGGTTATGCCATTTGGAGTAACCAATGTGCCTGCGGTGTTCATGGACTACATGAACAGGATCTTCCATGAGGTTTTGGATCAATTTGTGGTGGTGTTCATTGACGACATCCTAATTTATTCAAAGACTCAGGAAGAACATGTTGAGCACTTAAGGATTGTCTTGCAAATTTTGAGGGAGAGACAGTTGTATATGAAATTCTCCAAGCGTGAGTTCTGGTTGTCGGAGATTCAATTTCTGGGACATGTGTCGAAGGAAGGAATCATGGTAGACCTTGCGAAAGTGGAAGCAGTGGCCGAGTGGCCGAGGCCGACTAATGTGATAGAGGAGCGTAGTTTCCTCGGATTGGCGGACTATTATAGGAAATTCATTGAGGGATTTTCTAAGATAGCGTTGCCCTTAACGAAGCTGACCCACAAGGGAAATGAGTTCAAGTGGACCAAAAGGTGTGAAGCTAGTTTCTTAGAACTGAAGATAAGGCTGACTTTAGCGCCGGTGTTAACACTGCTTAACTTGGAGTGGAAATTTGATGTGTATTGTGATGCATCTGGACAAGGACTTGGTTATGTTCTAATGCAAGAGGGGCGAGTGGTCGCTATGTCTCAAGGCAGTTGCGCCCTCATGAAGTCAACTATCCGTCTCATGATATGGAATTGGCTGCAGTGGTTTTTGCACTTAAGGTATGGAGGCATTACCTATATGGAGCAAGGTTTGAAGTGTTCAGTGACCACAAAAGTTTGAAGTACCTGTTTGACCAAGGGGAACTGAATATGCAACAGAGGAGATGGATGGAATTCCTTAAGGACTACGACTTTACATTGTCTTACCACCTTGGCAAGGCAAATGTGGTAGCCGATGTGTTAAGCTAGAAATCATTGCACGTGGCAGCAATGATGGTGAAGGAAATGGAGTTGATTGAGGAATTTCGGGACATGAATTTGGCCATGGAAGTGAGGTTGGGGAGTTTGTATCTCGAAGCGACAACGATTCACAACGACCTTTTGATGTACTTCCGAGATGCTCAGTAGGGAGATGCTTTCCTACAAGACATGATGAGACAGAAAGGTGAGGGGAAGGACTTGGAGTTCCACTGTGATGAGAACGGGGTGATTAAGTTCCAGAATCGAGTGTGCATTCCTTAAGTGGATGAGTTGAGATAGATGGTGCTTGAGGAAGTGCATAAAAGCAGGATGAGTTTTCACCTCGGTGCAACTAAAATGTATCAGAACCTCCGGAAGAGTTTTTGGTGGAATGGTATGAAGAGAGATGTGGCTAAATGTGTGGCTAAATACCTAACTTGCCAGAAGGCGAAGGTGGAACACCAGCGTCCACGTGGGTTGTTACAGCCGTTAGAGATCCCTAAGTAGAAATGGGATAATATTTCCATGGACTTTGTTTTTGGGCTGCCTAAGACTAGGAACAACCATGACGCCATCTGGGTGATAGTGTATCGGTTGACCAAGGCTGCACACTTTCTCCCGATTAACATGAAATATAGATTGGAAAGACTTGCGGAGTTGTATGTGAGGGAGATAGTCAGGCTGCATGGAGTGCCGACTAGTGTGGTGTCAGATAGAGATCCGAGGTTTACCTCGAGGTTTTGGGAGAGCCTGCAACGGCGAGATTGAGCTCGGCTTACCACCTAGTCCCTAGAGGACTTATTGAGGGCTTGCGTGCTTGAGCAGTGGGGAACTTGGGAAGAGTGTCGACCTCTGGTGGAATTCATGTACAACAATAGTTACCATGCTAGTATTGGAATGATACTGTTTGAGGCCTTGTATGGTGGAGATGCAGAACTCCGCTATGTTGGTATGAAACTTGAGGGGCAAGGACATCTCATTGGTGAAGGTAATATGGAGCTCGAGTGATGAGGGAGATGCCACATGGGAAACATAGAGTAGAATGAGAAAATTATATCTGCAATTGTTTACGTAGTTTGGTTGAATTTCGGGGACGAAATTCCTTAAAGGAGGGGAGAGTTGTAACACCCCAATTTTTGTAATGTTAATCTCAATGATAGTTAATCTCAATAATTTCTGTCAATTTTCCATAATAAGGAACACCACCAAATTATCTGATTATCACTACTACTTGCATAGCTTCTTGTTCCAAATGTTCCAAACACTCCACTGTTTTGTGTTTAAGCCCTTGGTCTCGTTCCAATATACGAAACTTTAATCCGTTAACATTGTATGCACTATAATGCTTTGCACAATCAATTGGACCCATAGCTAAGAACTTTAAATCATCATAATAGGATTCATTTGGTGCATCTTTTATCTATAATAAAAAAAATGAAGTGAGAAAATATTACTGTTCAATGAGATCAAATGACAAGAATATAATTAAACTTACTCGACGAGAAAACCATTGAACAAATTCTCTATGAACCTTCCTATCTATCTCAGAGGACGATCGTGTGCGACTTCTTAATTGTCGACGCAATACATTTCTAAGTTCCCTACATAAAACACATAGATAATTGCATATTTGTACTTTAAGAGAGTATGGTTTTATAACAAATTATCAAATAAGATTACTTACTGAAGAAATGGCTCAACTTCTGAATAGTTGGTCAATACATGACGATGTGCTTGTAATTTTTCCTTTGAAGATAAAGTGAAGTAACTAAAGCCACCAATTGGATTTCCGATCGGTGGAAACAAAGAGTTTGCACTAGATAATTGTACATTTGGCTAATCATCAACACGACCCATTCGATTAAAGACAGTCTCAATTCCTTCCAAATACCTAGAGAAAAATGTCAAAACCTCTTCAGCTATATATCCTTTAGCTATTGACCCTTCCTCTTGTGCTCTATTATGAACATAAGACTTTAATTTTGCTAGGTACCTCTCAATAGGGTACATCCATCGATATTGGACAGGTCCTCCAACCTTGGCTTCTTCAATTAAGTGTACAATCAAATGAACCATGACTGTAAAAAATGAAGGTGGAAATAACATTTCCATATGACGTAATGTGAGAATAATTCTGCTTTGCAATTGGTCAAGTTCATTGACAATTAAAACTCTGCTACACAATTGTCTGAAAAATGAACACAAATCAATTAACACTGCTGATACTTGGCTTGGGAGTGTCTTCCTCATTGCTAAAGGCAACAATTGCTCTATTAAAACATGTGAATCATGACTTTTTAATCCACCAATCTTTCATTGCCTGATATCAATACATTTACTAATATTACTTGAGTAGCCATCTGGAACAGTAATGTTTTTTAATGTCTTTAAAAACAACTCTTTATTTGTACTTGTTAATGTGAATAAAGCTGGAAGATATTTGCCATTTTCATTAGGCCATAAATCATATCTTATGCCCCACTCTTGCAAGTCTCTCCGTGCATTTAAATGGTCTTTTGATTTTCCAGAATCATTTAACAAAGTAAATACCACATTATCACATACATTTTTCTCAATGTGCATGACATCAAGATTATGACGCAATAAATTATTCACCCAATAAAGAAGTTCAAAAAATATACTCCTCTTACGCCATTGTAAAGGTTCAGCTTGTGTACCACTAACTCGACGCACTCTTTTTGCCCTTCCTTCACCATCTAAATCTTTTCCAAACACCACATTAATCATCTGAACTTGTTGCCATATAGATGCACCGGTTATTCCTATAGAAGGGTTTCTATTTTCTACATTTCCATCAAATCGACTTTGAGCTAATCTAAATTTGTGCCCTTCATTCAAAAATCGACGATGGCCCATGAAACACCACTTTCAACTATGAGGAAGTCGGCTAGGAACTGAGTCAAAATTACAAGTAGGACATGCTAACCCAGTATATGTATTCCATCCAGATAAGGTTCCAAGACCAGGAAAATCACTAATAGTCCACATCACAGCTGCATGCATGTTAAAAACTTCATTGCTATATGAATAAAAAGTTCTAACACCAGTAGTCCATAAATCTTTCAATTCTTCTATTAATGGTTGAAGATATACATCAATGTCATTTCCCGGTGCTTGCTTACCAGGAATGATCATCGACAGGATAAATGAACTCTGTTTCATACACATCCAAGGAGGAAGGTTGTACAGTATGAGCATAACTGGCCAAATACTATAACTCATGCTCAAGTTGTCGAAAGAATTAAAGCTATCAGTAGCCAACCCAAGGCATACATTTTGAGAGTCTAAAGCAAATTGAGGATACATTAAGTCAAATTTCTGCATTGTAGTACTTTCCAATCCATGCCATCGCATATGCTCAACAGTTTTTGAAGACATAAACAACCTTTACAAACGTGGCTTTAAAGGAAAATATCTCAAAACTTTTGCAGGCACCTTTTTTTGTTTATCAGTAGCACTAGTATTTGCACCCTTATCTTTTGACTTCCACCTAGATTGTTTGCATGTCTTACAAGTATCTCTATTTGCATCTTCTCCGAAGTATAACATACAATCCCTCGGACAGGCATGAATTTTGGTGTAATTAAGGCCAAGTTTGGTAATAGTTTTCTTCGCTTCATAGAATGAAGATGGAATATTAGCATGTTCAAAAGCATCAGCCAACAGCTCTAGGATCATTGACATTGCCTTGTCACTTACTTTACAAAGACATTTAATATGATACAGCTTGCCCAAGAATGAAAGTTTTGAATATTTATCACATCCTTCATACAAACTTTGTTGACCATCCCTAATTAA